TTTTTTTTCCTAATGGGATGAGACATTCGCTTTTGGTTTCCCTGCATTGCATCGCTTACCCATTACTGTGACTGGCACATTACCTGTAATTGTTTTTTTTTCTTGCCTATTAAGCAGAACTGTGTAGTAATAGAGGATGTCTTCTCTCTGGTCCATCTTGCGTTTCTCCATGGGATCATATCTGTGCCTAGTAACCTTCGTGATTTTGTTTTCAACAGTTCCTCCGTGATTACTAATTTATTTGTTTTAAAAGTGAATCACACAAGCCCTGGCCACATTTTGTTACGTTTTAGTATAAGAACCGTTGACATTGATGGTATTTTGTGAAGAAACCAATTACTTCAAAAAATTTTTCCTTCGATCAGCCAGCAGAACTAGATTTTGGTCGCATTTCTGTGTTAGTGGGGCATACTTCCGAAAGATGGTTAATAACAGAAAGGGTGGCGAAGAAGTAGGAGTGCTCACAGTAGTAGAGACTCACTTATATGCAAATGAATCGATCTGCAGTAGCGGAAGAGTGTTAGACATTATAGAAGGTCATATCTCATGTTATTCACATCATCCAGTTGAGTCGAGCAGACCATTTTATCAGAGGCTTGTCACTAGGCCAAAAACAGAGACACTCTGGCCGGGCCATGGCCCATGCAATGCCTTACTGATGTCGGATTAGAAATAGGTTGATAGAGAAGCATCAGCCTTACTCTATCAACGACTCTACTGTGTTTTTTTTTTTNTTTTTTTGACTTATCTCTTCGAGAAGCGTTCAATGGTGAGCTCACTTGCAATTAGTTTCCCGTTTTTCTATTAGTGTTCATGGTCGGCGAAAGTATAGCTGTGATAGTTCCACGGTTTGGACTTGCTTGAGGGCGCTTTCTAGAGTATGTTTAGTTATACAAAATGTGGTTTAAATTTGACGCTATTTCTTTGCATAAGTATTTCTAAACCCTGAGAAGGGGTTCGCCAAGGGCCCGGTTCTCTTTGATAGTATCTTGGGGTAGCGTTTAATGGCAATTGATCAGACTGCATGATTTGCATGATTAATATCCGGCTTTCCAACTGTTTTCGAATCCTAATTATATTTGTAATCCTTATCAGGAGTTGTTTGTAATCGAATTTATCGATATGAAGTCACTTTGTGGATCGCTGGCTATGATTTTATTGGTGACTTGTTTTTTTTTCTTTGAATAACGGTGTACATTTGTAGGTTATACGAACGTATTTTCTTTTATTAGCATTACTGTGTTCGTGAATGTTTTCTCGGGAATCGATATAAGATTTTTTTCTAGCCTTTTTTTTTGAGTGGTAGTGACATACGATGTTTGCATTATAAATTTGTGACGAAAACACAGAACGACTCAAGTATTTTTCAACAGATTGAATGGTTAGAGGGTTGAGCCGTATGTTTCTGGTGGTGGTCTGCGTGTAGTCCTCGTAGCAGCACGTGATTGGTTTTACACTGTAGCTGTTTTCAAGATTTTTACTACAATTTTGGAATGTGACCGCTGATCTGCCTCGTGGTTGAAAACTGGTATTNCAGGGAGTCTGCCACTGCTACAGCCACACCATTTCGTTTAGTGTCATCTCCGTTGTAGAAGAGTTTGACACCCTCTCCAATTTCTCTGGCCTTTGCTCCCTTCCAGCGGGTCTCCTGAAGGCATAGGACATGGATGTTCCTGCGCTTCATAAGATCAGCGACTTCGCGGGACTTTCCAGTAAGCGAACCCACATTTAGAGTCCCTATTCGAACTAACTTCTTTAGCCGAGGTCGTTCACTCCTCGGTAGCCCTCGCATACTGTCCACAGAACTCAGGCGAGGGCCCTGTGCGCCACTTCCGGGTGACGTCCTAGCTTTATCACGGATACTCTTTGAGACTTTAGACATATTTGTTGTGACTGGTTTCTCCATCAGCCGGCCTGTCAACCTGGCCTGACGCTGGTACCGATACCATTTTTGCAAATTTTGCAAGGCATGGAGTTGCCTCGGCAGGGATCGAACTCGCAATTCCCCTAAGTGCAGACGTGAGCCTACACTCTTATCCACTCGGCTATCCCTGCCTAACCAGGGTACGACATACATTTTGGGGAAAAGGTCTCAAGTCATGGGGTGATCACTCCTGTGAATCCCATACTGTTTCTATTAGCGAGTAACGGCCATGTAGTATCCTACTTACTATAAAGCGCTCCGTCTGTCGTTCTGTCTGTCCGTCACGAAACTCCTTAGCTCCTTTAGATCTGCCTGGAGAGATCGGGTTGGGTGGGCCATGACCCGAGAAGTATAAGGGACACATCGGCTTGGCGGAGCCCCGCCCACAGTGGGCGTGGCGTGCATTGAAATGAGCATTACTGAGGACCATGATTTCAATAACAGTCACATGACAACTTCAAAACTGGGGTGTAAAGGTCGTTAGAGGTGTGCATGGGTAAGTTAGATCCAACTGGGGAGACCCACCCCAGAGCGGTATGAGAACACTTATTGTGGGTGGCAGAACCGGACTCCGCCCACAGGGGTTTGAGCGGAAACTCATAAATCCTGTTCCTATAGACGTAGAGCGTTCAAATTTGGTAGGAGTGCAGGCGGCACGATGGGAACGCTTATGCTGGGCGGCAGGACTGGACTCCGCCCACAGTGGGCCAGTGGGCGAGGTTTGAGTGGAAATTCATTGTTCCTGTGAAGCTATAGCGCTCGAATTTGACGGGTGGTGCGGGCGAGGAGGCCATTTTAACAAGAGAAGGAGGGAAGCCCGGCGTCAGCCGGAGCCGACTGGTGTTTTAGTAACAGCATAGCACCGAAAGGGATCAGCTCGATTTGAGGACGCAGATCTGGCGGTGGTCTGCTTGAGAGCTTTCCTGCGTCATCCGGAATGTTCCTCAACAATAATGAGTAACCCGAGTTAGCCATACCGTACCCTACTTCCCCTTCTCCATCATTCAACACCACGATGGCCAGCTAACCCAAGGGAGCGGGGAAGGGGGAGCCCCTTAAAGGAGGCGAGGATAACATTGTTTTTCACGATTGTCTCTCATCCTAACCTTATAACTGTAGTTGACTACTACAGCCAAATTAATCTCCTAACCTTCTCAGCACCGTACGTATGCTGCTCTCCATTTGCAACTAGATTATCAATTTCAGCTATAATGAGATTGGAACCCATCAAGCTTCACCAAGTGAGATATAAATTAAAGTTTCCCATTGCTCGAGGAGTTTCTATAGCTCTACTCAACAATGATGTGTGCAATTCGTTGACTAGATCCAATACTGAACTTAACTAGAAAAGAGAATATAAGAAACGTAGAAATTGTACTTTCTCAGTCGAAGATTTCTTTGCTGTTGCAATTACTATCGAGAGTCACTTTATAAAAAGCGGATAGTTTTCTACAACGATGCTCTGCTCGTACTTTGAGGACGACGAACTTTCTGTGGATAGAATTTTTTTGAGGTCTGATTGGAACCCTCCCTAGCTCATTCAGCCTATTAGGCTTGTACGCTTTTTTTGGCCGGGCCACCTAGCCTTCCCAAAAGAATGGACTGATTGAGAAAAAGCGGACTTAGTTCTAAAAATGACTAGAGAATCAACTGCAGACGGTCAAGTTTCTCACAGTACTAAACGATTTTAGCTTTCACTTCGTATTGAAGAAGAACCTAATAATGAACCGTGTAAGACGCTGGATGAATGGGTTGTTGTTTTGATCGCCCTATCAGACAGGAGGTCATTAATTTGCCCTGGGAGGTACGAGTACCGGGCACGGTGTTGGAATCGATCTAGTATTATAAACCGTAACCACCAGTGTAACTCCCTCCTTGTCTCTGGCGACATACCCTATTCCGCTCATAATTTGATTCACTCTGTACTTTTCCTTTTCATCTATTTTTGTCACTAACGTTGAGTACTTCTGCCCGGATGGCTTTAATGCACTTCGTCTGTCGTTTTTGACAAGTTGGCGACAATGTCGCTCAATGGTGGGCGACAGCCTTTCTGTCTCGTGGGACAACGACCCTCAATACTGCGCGACTATATATTGTTTAAGGCTAATAATTCATTTCTTTATAAATTAAATCATGAATCGTTTGGAAACAATCTGATCAACAAAATTTATTGCATTTGCTGCATTTTACCTTGGTCCTCTTGGTCCGACTCCTCGCGGTCGACCTGCTTGAGGTTGCAGAAGACTGTAGCAGTCGATGCAAAACCGTCGGTCTTTAGCCTTCGTATTTGGATCGGTCACCAGCTTCCGCTTGCGTGTTCTCGAACTGCTTATCGGCGTGTCGTTAAAGTTCTTGTACTGTGAGTCGTCCACAATTAGCTGTTTGAAGTAATTTATTCTGATTTTCCTGATCTTCTTGCAATACAACAATTAAGCATTGCTAAGGCAGTCTGGGTTATGGATGAAAAATTTGTCGAATATACCATTTGGCTGTCTTTCTCACAAACGAGGTATCGGT